ATGCCGTATTTGAAATACATGCTAATGTCATTTCCGAGAAAATGGTAGAGATTTTGCCGTCGAAGCCCGTCAGTGCCGGCGAATCTGGATCGGAATTGCGGTGCGACGGTGGGCCGAGGAAGTGCGTGTAAGAGCGTGTGATGAGGAGCAATAAGTAGAGATAGGAGGGAGCCCCCGTTGCTATGGGGATCTGCATACATCCAATAAACGGAAGCCCTCTCCTCGCCTCACTGGAGAAATTGAACTTTTTAACGGTCCGTTGGTAAGGGTCGTGTCCGCCGGTGAGGGCGAACTGGACAAATATTGTCATTACGAGAGTTCCCTCCAAGAAATTATCGAGGATTTTTAACGGGATGATAATTAATAAAGCCGCCCGTGCGGAAAGTATAAATTCCGTCACGCTCCTTTTAACCCGCAATGATTTTTTTTTTTTCGCTTTCCGTAATCCTTGATCCTCGGCGAATAACATTTTTTTTCTTTCTTACGGAAAGATTTACTAATTCCGATTGCTATAATCGCGGATTAATAAAGCGTAAACCGGGTCGTGGATGAAATGACGCTAAATCGGATCGAACAGTTGTCGGAGGGCGAAGCGTTAAAGGATCTTCCTCTCTTTGGAAACAAAACGTGTTTGTATGTTTAATGAAGCGGGAATATAATGGCGGCCAACAATTCGAGGTGATAGCCGAGGCAACTAAGAGATATTAATAATGACAAAACGTTTTCCATAAATTTGAATAAATTTCCATCCATTTTTGCCGCCGATCCACCCCCCTTCCACTTTAGACATTGATGAGCTTTATCGGCTTCTTATCCCTCGGTGTATAAGCCTTTTTTTCTCTCCCACCGACCTTTCAGAAGGGCACATGAAAAAAATCTTGCACCGACAATTTGTCTTGCGAGGAAAAATTAAAATTCAATTAGACAGGATTCTTTTCTTACGTATTTCGAAGATCGATCGTTATTTTAAAAAAATACTAATTAAGTCACGTTTCTAACTCTGCTCAGCCCAATGAAACAACCCCTTTTTAACATATGAACTTCGATGCGCTGATTATTGCGCTTTGGATGCTGATGATAGATTTTGCATTACGTTTCCGCTATTTAAAGGTCACCGTTATATTTAACCCATTTATGTTTAGTGGTCTAATTGACCAAATTACTTATTTCAATTAATTATTCTTTTTATGTAAGGACTTGGTTGAGATGAAAAGTTAGTTTCACGAGCGGTTTTCGAACCCACGACCTTCGGCTCAATACGCCGCTACTCTAACCACTATTCACGATATCTCAAGGGGTTTCATGACACTAACTTTATCATCTCAACCAAGTCCTTACATAAAAAGAATAATTAATTGAAATAAGTAATTTGGTCAATCAAGACCTTCCATAAAAAGTTATATTTAACGTCGCTCAAATAACGTTGACAATAACGTATAACGGATTTGGCCGTTTTCTGGGGAGTTTTTATGAAGTAGTTCAGGTTATAATCGTATCTTGTACGCTTGTAAATACCGTTCACGGTTGTTATGGATTTTTCTCTTGATTGCTGACGATAGTTTGGCAAATGCTGAGGACCGGATAGTTGCAGAAGTTCTAACGTACAGAGTAAACATTACCATGCGAATCGGGGCAAGTGTAGTTTAAATGAAATTGTGGACGAAAAGTGTCAAAAACTCTTAAGAAAAAAGCTTCCAGCTTAACTTAGGAATTAGGAAAAACTAAAATATAAAAGTTGTTAGTTAAACTTGTACATTAAAGATAAGCATATACATACACACTATGTGTCCAACCACATTATATATGTCTCTTAGAATTTAACTTTTAAATTGTATTTAGGCAGTTCATCAAATGGTCATTTTTACACAATCGCTGTGGATTTATTGAATGAATGCATAAGGTTTGTCCTGCTTGTATGCAAAGAAAACAGCTAAACATTCTAATCTTGGAATACCAAAATCATGTACATTCTTACGAGTATGGATTGATGAAAACTTGTTCAAATTGTAAAATGTTAACTATTGAACAAACAATTTAATTATATTTATGCATGTATAGTATTATTTTTTTAATTGTGCAATATTTCGTACAAAAAAACTACTTTGTTGACTTTACCGTCACCCGTTAACAAGCACGCTATCTAAACAATACGTCAAGTAACGTAGGACACTATTTCAGATATCGTTCCGTTAAATCTGCAGATGCGCACATCAATCAATTTAGCGTTATCCTTCACGCTAACGTTAGGAAAAATCTCCCTATTATCGAGAGAGTTGGCGATCAATCGGAATATGTTGTACGTACGTAATGTTACAACTCTTTTTAGCAGTTTGTCCAAGAAACATTCGATCTGTGAATCGCACTTTTTTTTCTTGTCTATTATCAAAAGTTGATTATGGGTGCTGATCTGTGAATCGGTGAATTCATGCTGAACCGGCATAGCGTCACTTACTTCTTCACATTCACATTCTTTTGTTCCGAAAAGATGCATTTCTGAATCGTTTCGTCACATGCTAGTTTTGGTCAACACCAATCGTTTCGTCACTCCCGACGATTTTGTTTGTTTTAACTGTAATTTTTGTAAGACCGGTATCTCGTTGTTAACCGTTCAATAGCTAATGAAGTCGGTGGTATGACTGCACCTCGTACGTTTGATTAAACGACACGGCCACAGATAGTATTAACAATCACTTCCAACCTGCAGGTGGTCCCCTCCAAACGTGGCACTGGGTTAAGTCAAAATAAATAAATTCGCCAAATTGCGCGCATGAAATAGTAATATCGTGTGGAGCCGATTACGTGTTCGATAATTATATTTCAACTGACGCCAAAGAGCTGAAATTCAATCAAGGCGCTAAGAAATATTGGGTTGTCCGGAAAATAATGCAGGATTTTGGTATTAAACAAAAAAAAAGAAACTAGTTACTTTAAAGCAATGTTCTTTAATCAAAATAATTTCCCATACTCTCAATACATTTCTCCCAACGTGTTGGTAACTTATTAATTCCGTCTGAGTAGAATTCAGAATTTTTAGAATTGATAAAGTCAATAAATGCATTTTCCAGTTCCGTTTGATTTTTGAATATTATGTGTTCTAAGTAGTGGTCCAGGTGTCTAAAAAAATGGTAGTCAGTAGGCGAGAGGTCCGGAGAGTAGGGTGGGTGAGGCAAAGTTTCATAGCCAAGCTCCAATAATTTTTGTGACGTTACACGTGACACATGTGGTCGAGCGTTGTCATGCAACAAAATGGGCCCTTTCCGATTGACCAAAGAGGGCTTCATTACTGCCAATTTCTGATGCATGGTATTAATTTGGTTACAGTATGATTCAGCATTGATGGTTTCGCCAGGATTTAAGAAGCTGTAGTGTATTAAACCAAATGAAGCCCACCATACCGTAACCATTACCTTTTTTTGATGAGTTGGGGGCTTTGGAAAATGTATTGGAGCTTCTCCTTTGTCGAGCCACTGTCCAGAACGTCTAGTGTTATCGTAGAGAATCCACTTTTCGTCACATGTAACAATTCTGGCCAGAAATGGGTCATTTTTGTTTCGACAAAGAAGTGATGCACAAACATCAAAGCGCTGATTTTTTTGGCGATCGTTTAATGAGTGTGGAACCCAATTTTCGAGTTTTTTCACTTTTCCAATCGCCTTGAGGTGGTCAGCGACGGTCGTTTTACTGACTTTGAGTTGCTCTGCAAGTTCTCGAACAGTTGTTTTGGGGTTTTCTTCCACCACTGATCGCAGAACATCATCATTAAGAGAGGAAGGCCTTCCACGACCTTCTTCATCTTCAAGGCTGAAATCTCCCTCCCGAAATTTTTTAAACCACCTTTGCACAGTGCACTCATTAACACAACCCTCGCCCCAGACTTGGTTAATGTTTCTAGCCGTTTGGGCTCCGCTTCGGCCGAGTTTAAACTCGTAAAAGAAAATCGTACGAAATTCTCGCTTTGACATTATAAGGATGACTGAATTATTTCCAAGTAGCGGAATGCTACAGAGGTAAACAAACAATATCATTTGGAAGAGGATTAATAAGTGTTGACATTCATACAAATGAGTAATCCTGTAAACGTAAACAGAATATTTTATATAGATTTTTTTTAATGAAAACTTAAAATCCTGCATTATTTTCCGGACAACCCAATACTAAACCCTCTTTAACGACGTTGGTCAGGAAGGTTGGCGAAAAGAAAAATGAACCATTGAAACTTGTGAGACGTAACCTTTTATTTTGATGGTGACATGTCTTAGATTATTTCCATATTAAATGACTGAAATCAACTTCGTTTACAAATTTGACCAACGTTCACCCCCTTGAAATTTTTATTTGTCCAGGTTTTCTGAGTAGGTACATTCAGGAGAGAAATTTAAAAGTATGGTAGGTTGACTGTGACGAATCAATTCAGAATCGTTGTGACGAACCAATAAATGGTCTTAGTCACCGAATGCGACGAACCGAACGAAGGGTCCGTCTTCACTCGCGGGTTTGTTGAATTGCTCAAACGCGTTTCGGCATTGTACCGTCTTCAGTGAGGAGCTATTAACAAAAAGGGCCGCATTGTTAACTGAATATAATCAATCGCTTAAAACAAAATCAAATCGTAGGATAAAAAAAATCCTGTAAAATGTGCGTTGTTATCATTCTTCGAGCTGTTCATCGTGCGCTTAAAAAAAAGAAAAAGAGTACGTGAATCAAATCGAGTGGTGTGCGTAAGGCGGAAACGCCTGTTTATTTGAAGTTATGCGTGTCATTCCAATAAAACATTGTATGCAAAGTTTATTGGCCATGTTGCTCTAGACAAGTGGGTAGGGAAGGAGGAAGTTCGATTGTGGGATTTGTTTCAACCCTGATTGGATCCTGTGGGCTCCCCTCGGTCCAATGTTTGCGGCTCAATACCGACTCGGCAGAGTGGGATCGAGCGAGGAGAATCGAGGAAAGAGGAAGGGACCGAGGTAGAGAAGGAAATTTCGAAAGTTAATATGTCTACTCACGCTGGGGATATTGTCGTTGGTACAGACCCCTTCCGCCAAGAGCCTGTCCCTGATTTCCCATGCGAAGATTGAAGGGCATTCCCTTTTGTAGAGGGAAATTCTGGAAACGACCTCCGTCGTCGCTACCCTCGGCTTCGATCCGCCAATCGCCCGCGGTCTGATGGATCCCGTCTCGTAATACCTGAAAAGCGACGAGAGGTTCAAATTAAAACTTCTATTTATGTACATTTTAAATAAAAAAACATTGATGAGACGGAGGCATATAAAGATTTTTGAAACAAAAGGTAGCTTTAGGAGAGCTTTCTAAGGGGAAATCATCTGAATTAACTGTCAATTATGGCTTATGTCAGCTCGAATTCTGCCCAACTGCGCTCTTGGTTATTATAGTTCTTATCAATTCCAAATGTCTATTGATTTTTATTTTGCTCATTTCTTTTCCGTCCACTTTTGTCCCATTTCGAATCAATTAATATTCATAGGTAATTTTTCATTTTACCCCAACAGTGCAAACATTAAAGAAATTCATGATTCATTATAGTTATCTGCTTGTCATTGAATGGAAGGTTAACTTATTGCATTTGCTTTATGTTAACAATTCATTTTTTTTCCAATTAAATAAATCATCTCTATCCGGGAATAGCCCGGTACCCTTAAAAACCAAGGTGGTGCGGGTTTCCTGGTTCTAACTTTCGCCTATCAGGTCATTCTTGTGTCCGTTTCCTCGCCTTCGGTCTTATCGTCCAATTCCAGGCCCTTCCTGGGGCGCTGTTGTTGGTCGGATCGCCTGTAGCCTCTCTCCCGATCATGTGGCCGTACACTATCCCCTGCAACGAACGGAGGGGTATGAAGGACAGGATAAGGAGCATCTTGGGGTTGTATCAGAAATGAGATTTGAGAGAGACTCTATAGTTCTAGTTCCCACGACGACACCTTCCATCCTAAAATAGAGCTTCTGGTAGGTCGCCATGAATGCTTCTTGCAATACCCCGCGATTAATAGGCCACAGCATCGTCCAGGACAGTCACCGCGTCTTCGTTCGTGGCCTCGACATCCGGCCTGAGCCTGGTGCCGTCAGGTAGGGTTATAGAGGTTTCGAGCTCGACCTGATACTCCGAACCACGGAGGCCACTACCACCTTTCGCAAATTCCGCTGGAATGCTACCACCCGTCTTCCTGATGGCCTCGCTAGCACCCAGAGAGTCCTCATTTCTAAGGCGTTGATGAATGATGACTCTTGACGGAACAACCACGAATCAGAGAGCCAATGGTTACCCACCCAATCGCCAAGTTTGTTCTATACTCTGTAGTCTGTGGCACCAAGATCCGCCCAGCCGTCCAATTCCCCCTGATAGACTTTAGCGCACTCAGGTCGTCCTTGCATGAAAAGAGAGCTGGTATTATTATTTTTAAAAAAACGAAGGCCCAGCTTTTAACCAGCATCTTCGTTTTAAATACGAGGATTTTCAAAATTTGTTTTATACGCTTGTAATTGATCAATTTAAATAGGCCGAGAGACTTAAATTTTATTTTAAATAATCGTAAGACGTTATAAATTGTCAGGGGTTTTTGGCGTATAAAAAGCGAGTCGAGAGGATTTGAGGATTTCTTCATCAACACGTCATCGTTAATGAGGGAGGATTTCGTGCCTTTTCCGTCGGGTTTTGCGTGAAAACAATTGGGAGTATAAATGGTTACTAATGTGATTTTCCCAGGAGGGCCGCCCTCGGACGGAGGCGGACTACTAATGCCGGCTTCCCTCAGCCCCTCCGCAAACAAACGTGATTTCCTTCCTCGGATTTACCTTTTCGTTAACAACGCTGGAAAATTGTTTTTCCGTCGGAAACTCACCGATTCTTCAATCGGTGACGGTTTGATGCCTCTCTCAACATGTTGAATATTAATGGACGATGCTTTCGGAAAAGAAAACCCGGCATTACCGTCATTCCGTTTCGAATAAATAGAATCGTGTTGTCATAATTATTTACAGTAATTGTTAATTGAGTTATAACGGTCGTTAGATTGAGTAATATTGTACTAAAAACGACTCCATCGTATATTAGAATTTGAGTGAAATGTGTTTCATTTCCAATGAGAATAGTCGGGCAAGGGCAGATTTATTCTGATAAAACCACTGCTAAAAGCTCATCGGATAACAAACCACTCAGCTCAAATTCAAAACATTCCCAAAGTCAATTTTTGCAAAGGAAGGAGGCGAATACCCTCAAGGTTCACTGCCTAAACATCACAATTTGATTTTATCACCTGGCTCTTTCGTTTCTTTAGATAACACCGCTGGTAAATTAGTGTAACGTCGAAGAAAATTTGAACTTTTTAATCCTTCACATTTTTTTATTTTTAAGTGATTTGAGCAAACTCGACAAGGACAATCAGTCAAGAAGTATTTAGAAAAACAAAAACAGAAGCGTACAAAGGATGGCTTATTTCCCCCAGTTTTCGGACGTAATTTATTATGGATGGGCGTGAAAAAAGGACGTAGGAGCTGTGAACATAAATCGGGAAGGGGGTCGCTTATTGTAATGAATTGTGAGGAAGATAAGGGGGAGGAGGCTAGGTGGACAGGGACTGTTTAATATTGTATAACAGCCTGGGAAAGGGTTAATGAAGCGGGTGGACAAATTGTGTGCCACTAGCCTCGGTAATAACGGGGCCTTTTAATTTCCAGCCGATTTGACAGACGTGCTATGTGATAAGGGCTCGATATCTCTCCTAAACCCCACTCTACACAAACGATTTTAAAATTAGCACCGACCCTTTCGTCGTAACAACGCCATGCACGATTCGTTGAAGACCAACACATTTTGCATCTTCTAATTTAATGTAACGACCTAAAAAATAAGTACAGAATTCTTTTAGATGCCTATCGACACTATTTTGTTATGTCAGACCGGCTTCGGTTTATCTTCAATGGTCGATTAATTCTGCGGTGCCATCGAGTGTTTTTCCTTTTAGTTAAATACGTCACAGGTCCCTATTCAACATGGCGATATGCCAATGACAATCAAAACAATAGGGGCAAATTAAACGAAAACGACTAAATTTTTCATCCCCCTGTTCACACAAATCTTCCCCCTTTGCACTACGAGGCCATACTAGGTATGCCAAACGATGCCACTACACCCCAACACAAGTTACCCAACAAGTACAAGGAATACCAGAAAGAGAAGAGTGGGCCAAAGGAATACCTCTAAAGGTTAATTCCTACTGGTATATTAACGGCTCAAAAACCGATAGAAGCACGAGAGCTGGAGTCCTCGGGCTGAATCCGAAGATTGAACTAACTTTTAACTTAGGTACATACGCTACAGTTTTCCAGTCTGAAATAAAGAAATTGAGCATTGAGCCAGAGAAATAAAAAGACTAGGAACACATTCCAAGAACATAGCCATATTCTCTGACAGTCAGGCAGCTCGAAGTCTTAGCCTCGTGCAAGGTAAGAGGGAGAACCGTATCTAATAGTATGGAATCCCTGGCAGAAGTCAGTGACTTGACCATGCATGATGGCAGGTTCTCTGGGCATTCGGACCTAGAGGCTATGTGGAAAAAATATTGGCCAAAAAAGGAGTCTGTATTCGTTCTCTAGTCCTCGAACCATATTGTGGCCTAGTTTTTGCCACAAACAAGAATACATCCAACAATGGACCCTTAATGAGTCCAAAACCTGGTAGAGCAATACCTCAGACATGAAGCACGCGAAAAGGTTGTCTTGGAAGGGCCATCCGAAAGACTTATAGAGGCACTAAAGGATGGCAACAGCAACAGAACCATAATCTGGTCGGACTCGTAACAGAGCACTGCCGTCTGAGAAGGCACATGAACCGGATAAGAGAACAAACAGAAGAAACACTGTGCAGACATTTCCAATAAGAAAGCCTCAGAACACGTTTTATGTTTCTGTGAGGGTCTATGTAGGTGTAGATACATGCGGGGGAGAAAAAGCAGCAGGCAAGATCCTACACTAAGCAGCCGATCAAGGCTATCAACAACAACTGTTAACAACCTCAACCTTGCAGTGAGTTAAAAAAAATATAGGAGCATAATAGATCTACTTAGTTTGAGGTGCGGAAAGCCTCGTGGCCTTCTCACTTATACCTAACGCTCAATTAATTGCCAGTAAAATTAAGACATCACTATTGCGTATTTTTCAAACTTCCCAAATTTTCTACTTTTATTTGCCTAGCTAGTGGTTTTGGGTTCGGATCCCGGTAGAGCTCTTGGGTTTTAATTGGTCACAAAATGTAAAAGGTAATGTAAAATGGTTCAAACGGGTTACTTGACTCGATGATGGCACCGTATCACATCACTGCAATCAAGATAAAAGTTGTCATTTTTGTGATCCCACCCTTCTGGGTGCTTGGGCTAGGCTCGATGTCAAATGGTGCCCACCGGGCTATATGACTATCCTACAAAACGCCAATTGACGCTCAATTTTCATAGACCCGCACCTAAGTAATTATCTTGCGGAACGCAGTAGGGCAGAAGTCAATTTCGACGAAGTTTAGTTTTTAAACCGTTTATCGTGCTCATTTAAGTATGAACGAATCTTCCAGTCATTAGATTCCTCTTTGAATTTCAACTACGGGTGGCATCTGCACATACAACTATTGACCTAACAGAATCGATTTTTGACGAAAGACCGTTTCGATATTATTTCAACGAACCTGTAATCTGGCCGTTACTGATCGTTTTGGTCTGCCTACCTCGCTGGGTTGGTCTGGCACGTTTATGCATTTCGCCATGTTCAATGTCTGTGAATTTTCTGACGTCAAACCGCTTTTATAAGATGCTTTTAGATAAGAATATAGAAGGGTGAGGTGCATGTATCTTTGTATTGTCTTTCCTTTTTTTGACTGGTAGTGTTTCGAATTGTGTAAATTATGTAAGTGAGCTGTTCCAAGACTCACTGAAGATGGCGAAATCCTGACGACCAAATTACACGATACTGGTATGTCTATTTTTGTGTTATTATTATTTGGCATAAGAGTAAATTATCCTCAGTCGTAGAATTAGCATAGGTTTTTAATAGTACATGGACTTATATGATCCATACTGACTGGAATAAAAAAAATAAAAAAAGCGAGAGACTTTAAAACCCCAATTTCTATTTTCTGTTTCTACTGTATAATGAATAATGATTTCTTATTACTAAAACAAGGAGAGTAAAAATGTGTTTTCTTACCTTCCAAGGATTTTAGAGACGCACCCGTTGGAGACCTGGAGGATCCTCGAGATGTCGCATGGCCGTGCTCCGGAGTGTGCCAGTTCCACGATCTTCTGCCTCGTAGAGTCCGGCAAGGGGCGTCCACTGACAAAGACCCCTCCTAACTGGTTCACACCACTGTGACCTACCGCCCACCAAACCCAACAACGTTAGCGAACCAGCCTAATCCTCATCAATCATTTGACAATAAATCGACTCGAAGTCGAAGACGAGTCGCACTCGACGTCGAGCCGTTACATTCAAACTAAATCTAATCTCAAAAAATAAATTAAAAAATAAAATAAAACACTCTCTACAAAATTTCAATTAAAACATGGGTGCACATCCTATCTAAAGGGGGTTGCCTAAATTAGGTATGGTGTATGAAGTAGTTACAAGTCCTATAAGAGAAAAATGCGCGTTTTTTTGTGTGTTGTTGTTATTATCTTGTCTTGTAGGTGTTATTTTAATGTTCCGTGTAATCGGGCGTTTTAGTGTTTGCGTTCTCTGTTGGTGTGTGCGTGTGGGTTGTAAAACAATGAGGAGGAGTCAAACGCAAACAAGTAGATTCGATTATTGGTGGAGGTCTAGGGAGTGGGGGCTCCCTTTCAATTAAGTCCTAAATCTTCTTCAACCCCCACAGACCCTATTTGTATTTCTACTAAACGTTACATTGATGTAGCCAGACCCCCTAATCTTTGCTTGTTGTGCGTTCTTCTACCCCTTTTCCTCACACTCCACCGCGCCTGCAAACATTTCCTCTCACTCGTTATAATTTCGGTCTTATCAATAGAAATTCTGTTTTCTTCGCAACTCGGACTTGGTTTAAACTGGAAGGTACTTAATTAATCAATTATCAATGATTCAACGGTAATACGTAATTTGCTTCCCTATTTACAAACATCACAACACTGATCTTGATTACTCTGAACAACTTCTATCAAAGGACAAAATAAACAATTGTCTTTATTTACAGTTAGCAGTAATGGAAAAGGCATGAAAAGGATTTTAATTGTTTTTGTTCGATGATAATCCAATATTCCTGCTTTCTGGTTAGAGCGTCCAACTCTCGTGTCGCCACACTAGATGTTCTGGGTTCGAATCCCGTCATAGCACGTGGAATTCAATTGATTATAAATTAAGGTACAGCCATTTGTGTAATTCGCATGTTTAGCTGTAGCAATGCGTTTGTCAGTTTTGACGAGGCAGGATTTCTTGTTTTGCTTTCTGTTCATTCTGAGATGTAGTTTATGTTTGGTCTTTTTATCCCAATAAGTTCTGAGTTAGGCTCTCTGGCCAATTTGACTGTTCTTTCATTACTTCTTTGTGTCCTGGCACTCGAGATACTGTCAAGTTGTTATGTTGTCGCAGTGGATGAAAGGATTTTTACAATTTTTAATGAAACCCAGCCTAATAAAAAAAAAGATTATAATTTGTCAAAAAGTATTTTAAAGTAGTTTGACCTCTAGTCCGATATTCAACGGGTAGGACCATACGTCTCCTGTATACCAGGATTTACTTTACTTTTCTCGCCATTTCCAAAGGATCCGATGGGCTAAAGTGTTCCCAAATTGGACAATCGACGTCGTAATTATAAAAACTAAGTTTAAAATTAATAGTTCTATTATAGACCTAACATGAAAGAACACGTTCGCTAATACAATTTAGGGCCCAGACGATATTTATAATAAAGGAGCAAGCAACAATAAATAGTCTGAAATTCAAATCAAACGTTTCGAATTTCGTTTGTTGCATAGTGTAAATAATTAATCAGTATACCTCCGATTAACCCTTTCTTGCCCAACCTTGTCACATGGCAATACCAAATTTATCAAATATACTAAAGCTTAGCTAATCCTATGAGTTAAGGCGGGTGCAGTGTTTTTCCTTCAATGTTTCATCCCGTGTATTGGCAACACTGATTTATTTGGCTCTAATGTACAATCTCCATATTGAAATCTTCTCCAAAATGGCTATTCACCCCATCACTGCATTTTGTATTGATTGTTGTATTAGTTAAACATAAAAATTTGCATATCCAGTTTATAATTTAGCCCTTTCTTGCACTAAGTTATTTCAGAGCAATGTCAACTTTACCAATTTTTTGCAAAGTTAGCCGGAAATCCCGTGAGTTTTGGGTGGGTGCAGTGTTTTTCCTTCAATGTTTCATCCCGTGTATTGGCAACACTGATTTTTTTTACCAATCTAAAATGTCCATCTTACAATAGAATCTTCTCCACCATGGATATTCACCCCACCACTGCATCTTTTATCGATTGCTATATTAGTTAAACATAAAAATTTTCTTATCCAGTTTATAATTTAATCCTTTCCTGCCCTAAGTTATTTCAGAGCAATGCCAGCTTTAGAATTTTGTTTGAGGTTTGCAGGGAATCGCGTGAGTTTCCGCGGGAATGGGAACATTAATTTGTTTTTTACTAACCTAAACTCCTATATCAATAATCTCACTGAATGTCCAGCTAACCTTTTAAAAATAGAGCTGAAGTACATCTTGCTCTATGACAACATTAGGCTATAAAGAGTTAACGAACTATACAAGATAGTTAATAAAAAAGGGTGTCGTAGAAGATTGATTTCTTGCATCAAAATACCATTATGGGTTTTCTTTTGGCAGACGATGACCCTTTTATCACAGCATATACTAAAATGATTCTCCATCGCTAACTGGAGGATTTGGTTTATTGATTTTTTTTTAAATAGGGAAATTTTTAAGACATGGATCAAAAGTGTTGGACACAAGTTTGAGAAGAGTGCTGTCAAATCTTTAAAAAAGTCTTTAAGTTCAAACTTTCACTAACGTTTGAGAGTTTACTTCCCATTTTGGAAAATGGCTCAAAGGGTTTTCAGATTTTCGTTGAATCATTGACATACTAAGCAATAATTTTATTATTTATTTATTTTTAAATAAAAGGAAGAGAAAGAAAGATGTATTCGTGTGAAAACAGATATGTTAAATAGAAAATAGATCAGAGCGGTGTGAGGCTAGCTAAGAAATGATTGTGTCAGGAGGCGGCCCCGCCTAGACTTGGACTCGCGTGGGGCGGCCCTTCGAAGGGCTAAGAAGGGCCGGAGAAGGGCCGCCCCACGCGAATCCACTGTAGACCCACCAACTCGGCATACCTTCAGCTATGTAGGAGTACCCTGAAAACAGAGAAAGTAAACACAAACACAGAATACACGTTCGAACTATCACAAATGCCTACACCTAATTGTTACTTCCCCCTACCCCTCTCCCATGGAACCCTAAAAACCAATTTTCTTAACTGACCTTCAGAAAAAAATTAGTTTTTTGTTGTTTATATTTTCCATTGTTATGCGACCATGTCTTTACTCTTCTGTGCCACAGTGGCATTCTGTACGTGTCTTTTCTGTCTCGTGTCATGTATCGGTTTGTTGTTTATGTGTTTTGTCTTTTAAAATAGAAGAAAAAAACGTTTCGGAAACAAAATTTTATGATTCTGTAGTATCATAACCCTGAATATACTATCAACTAACACAAAGAATAAACTCACTTTTGTCAAGTTATTCGTTACGTCCATTTTTAAATTGCATAAATTCGTGTAAATGTGTATGTATTATATTCACTTAATCGTGACAAGATAGTTATCGCATTTCGACGATCATCACTACTGACATATCGTACTGATGAGATCCTGGTCAAACTCACTATCTATCAAGACACAAACAAAAATCGTACACGGATCGCCAGATCAAAGAGGACTCAATATATGTCGTATAAATTAAAAGAGGTTTAAGAAGAATGACGATCTTTCTTCCTCCTTTCCAACCAGCCTGTTGCCATTTTAAAAGTAAATTTTCAGCCGACTTTATCGAATTGGTCCTGATTCAGGAAAGTAGGTTAAAATAATTTTTCATGCAAAAACCATTTCGGATTTGTTTTAAGCACTCTTTAAAGATCTCAAATACGAATTGTCATCCGAATCTAAAGATATACATTTTTTGGCTGGATTTGCCCTGGTGTGTTCACCACCAATTCGTAACACCTTAGGATTTCATCAATTGTCCACCCTATTAAATCCGTTAGAAAGCTTAATCCTTAATCATAACTAAACCATCAGCTTAGAGAATAATTTTGATATTTGATTTCCCATTTGTGTTTCAGTTTCTAATTCATCCTCTAAACAGTTTATGAATCATGCAAATAGGAAAGGACTAATTAGACATCTTTGTCGTACTCCCGGTTGACTGAAAATGATTCCGTTCTACCGAGAATTCCACACTGAAGAGACTGATTAAGTATTATCTAATTAGGGTTTAAATATTTTTTTAAAATATAGTTTTCTGCTCTCTTTGTGTTTGCATTCAAGGTGATTATGTGTTAGTTTATAGGGGTCTAAATTTCTACGAAGTTTCTTGTACATCAGAGGAATAATTTCAAAGTTGTGATTTCAACTTAAATTTGGGGCGTCGGTGGCCGCAACGGTTTAGGCGTTGACACGGCGCTCATCACTGTAAGGTGAAGGTCCCGGGTTCGAATCCAGCGGCCCTGCATTCGAAACCGACATACTTACAAATGGGCTTTTTTTCAAAAACACCGGCACCCTGAGGGTTGATATAAACTCTGGTGTTGCAAACCCTCGTTTAAAAAAAAAAAAAAATTAAATTAATTAACCTTAAATTTTCAAGGTTTGTGATTTTCGAAAAAAATCGCAAGCATTGAGAAAGCAAACAATTTGATTAAAAAAATTGATTTTCAAATTTTTGTTTAAACAAACAATTCATATTTCTTTTAACAAGCCCTTAAATACTATTTATATCAAAAATAAATATTATTGAACTGGATTAGCCGAGGGCATTTGTTTTCTCCTTCCATGTCCCAATGTTTTACATAAAAATTCAAAATTCCTTGTATTTCATGCGGTCTGGTGTGACTAGGTTTTAGAAAAACCTTTTCTTTATCGTGCCAACGTTTCGATCTTTATTGAGATCATCTTCAGGGCCGGGGATTTACAAACATTGTTTAAATCTAACAAATACATGTAGGATGTGGAAAAAAGTGAATTTATACAATGCAAAAAAATATTTTTTATTAATTATTCAGATATCGTGAGATGCGGTCTCAGACCGCATCTCACGATATCTGAATAACTAATGATTAACGGT